TAATAGAGGGCAGGCACATGATGTGTTTGCGTCCGTGTGGTGGTGTGACTTTTTGTTTCAGATAACAGTAAAACACACACTGACTGCCAATTTCCATTATGGGGACAACAGAGGTGACATTTTGCATTGCGAAATAGTGCTGAACATGCACTATTTAATTAAAAAAAGTACTGCATGGTGTAAGATTTCACACTTATTTATACCATTTTCTCAGTCAGTACTTTTAGTTCCATTATTGTTCTTGGCTCTCTCTGTATGAATTCATGTGATACTTTTTTGGAAAGCTATAATCTATCTGCCCCTGATGGCACAAATGAACTCTTAAAGTATGTTGGTGAGGCTCTACGCCGCTCTTCTGATGGTGTAAGGTTACTCTACATTTAGTCAGAGTCACACACAGACACATGACTGGGCTTGGGGCCCCTGGCTTTGGATGAGGGGTGTCAGGTTCTCTTTCTCAATGTTCGTATGAGGGCAGGAAAAGGCAAAGGCGGCAAGCTCCGAGAAGAGAGTGGCGTGATACGGAGGTGTGTCTGCAAGGGGTGGACCCTTTGATTGAGAGATCTAGAGCAGATATTTTCCCACTGAGCTCTGAGTCCAGATCTGCACTCTTCCCGCCCTGTAGGCCTACAACCCGCCCACAACACAACCCTTAATCTAGGACATACCGTCACTCCATCCACAAACTACCAAATTTAGGCTCCACCTGTCGCCTGCTAGAGGAGGATTGAGCTTTGTTGTGTGCAACAGAGGGGGGAGGGTTTGTGGAAAGGGTGCTGTGGTGTGTGAGCCCTTTGGCATGTGATCTGAAATAGAAAGGGATTTATTGCTGTTAGGAAGACAGGCGAAGGCAGCCTGGGCGTCAAAGACGAGCCCCTCTCTGCTGCCCAGGAGAAATGTTGAGTCATAGCCGGTGGCATGTTGGACTCTGACTTGAGTTCCTCTAAGGTCCAACACCTGTACGGTGCATTATTTTACCGTCTATAGATGATGCTTAACACATTTTTTGGTCATTCAACATAATATTACAAATGTTGCACCTCATGAACAAAATAAGATGCACCACATTATTGTATGTGAGGTTCTCTGTTTATTTTTTACACGAGAGAGTTTATAATTCTTTGAAAAGGCCAGACAACATTCTGTAACAGGGAATATAAACAGGGGGCCCTGATACCTAATTTGTCCCTCAGCAAACCTCCGGCTCATGAGCTCCAGAGATATATGAGTGTTGATTTAAACAGGAATCTTAAAATGTAATCACAGCTCACTCACTATTCTTCATCTCTTGCCATAATAAAAACCAGACCTCCTTGTCCGTAAGAGTAGCCCAGTGTTCTGTCACTCCCTGCAGCCAATCGATGTTAAGGTCAAAAGAGCTTCCTACTTGCGTCTCGACCTCTGTCAGAGGACAGCAAGATCAACCCACTCTCTGGCCTGGAACAGCCTCACCCCCAACCCTCTCGATACGAGGAGAGGCGTGCACGTGGGTGCGCGGCTGTCACTCTATTCCAGCGGGACGGACACAACACAAAGTTCAAAGAAGAGAGGACACCCTGCAGCACAGGACGCACCAGACTGATCACTTTGGGCTCCTCTTCAGGATTTTACGTTTCCGTTCCGTTTTTGTTATTGTTAAAGTGCTCGAGGCTTGTTGTCCTTTTGAGGGAGTTTCACGTGTCTCCATTTGGCACCAGACGCATCTGTCATCAACCGTTACTGGGTGCCTGGAGCTGCCAAAGTCATGCCAGCCGGGTTTCAGCAACTCGGAGTGGAGGTATTTATGTTTCTTGAGAGCTTTTCACAATTTTGCAACACAATTTAAATGTGGAAGGGCTTGTTGTTTACTCGCAAATGCAAGGAAAGCTGTACGCATTTAACTGTTCGGTGCGCATTTCTATTTGGAGATTTTACGCACGGGTTTGTCTCCGTCATGCAAAAAAAGTTGAAGCGCATATCAACGCTTTTCTCTGCCTTATTGCAGGTTGCCTCGTATAATAGAAAAAAAATATAACAAACTCGTTTATTGGTCAGAGAAAATTACATCGAGTCTAAAATAATGTACAATTGACAATAATAATAACAATTGACCTTGTCCCTTGCAAAAAATAAGTAACTATAAATGCTGTATGTAAAAATCAACATCAGCCCTGATCTGAATGAGTTTGGCCCTTATTTAGTCCTGAGCAGTGACCTTGACCAGCCTAATATCTGAGTTTACAGGTCAGTACTGTGAGTTTGTTATAGGCCACCTTGTTTGACTGGTTCCTTTTCACCACCCTCATAAACAATAGCTGTGCTGTGTGCTCCCTGATATCTAGGTGGACGTATGAATCAGTTTTAAGTGTCAAGCATCTTGAAAACGAGAGAAAGTGGACTGTAGTCTGTGATGCGATGTAGACAAAAAACTTCTGATGCTGCTTCATTACCAATAAACAGGAATCAGTGAACACACCGTCTGTGACAGGTTGATCTTACAGCCATGTGGGAACCTCTGTTATAGCTCAGACGTTTTGGCTTCAATGTAAAATAAACCCTGGAAGCGTGGAAACTCTAACTAAGCAAAAAAAGCAAACACACTATGTGAGTTCTAAGGAATCAGATTCATTCCTGATTAGTGAAAAGTAAATGAATTACTGAGCATTCAACTATGTGTGAGGCCATTTTAAATAAAATGCATGAAGTGTAATAGAGCTTGCCTGGCTGCTTCTGATGTTTCACCTCTTCTGTTGCAAGGGCACGTGCACACACACACACGCACAACCTTTTGTTTTGGTTTGTGAATACTAAACAGAACTTATCTAGAGACTCAGCAGAGCAAGGTCAAGTTACAGATGCATGCTAACAAACTACATACAAAATCAAACTTTGCTGAATTATCCATGAAACCAAATACAATACAGTACAATAGAAAGACCACTTTTGCCCAAATTGTAGTTTAAAGTCACACATCATATTGTTGTTGTCAGGCGGCCCCACCTCACCAAAAGGAAGCCATGATGGGTGTGTTTTTTTCTGTTTCACCAGCAGGTCTTAAAAGACTTCGTATGAGAATATAACATGTTCCTGTTGTATAGTTATGTCTTTACAGTGAAGCTGCTAGGTAACTAATCTGACAGTTAATTAAATGACTTAAACACACTTTACTGGAAGGGACGACCTCATCTCCCCAAGGGGTTGTCTCGTCTGTCACCGTGGAGACAGGTGCCTGTAGCCTGATGGGGAACTGCAGGGAAGTTGAAGCGTTGAAGCGATTTCCTCTCATCAGGATCACTGCTATATATAGTTGGAGGGAGTACTACCACAGTGCCGAAGCTCTTATATTTGCCATTATTATCTTTCCACTCACTGTTTTTTTTACCTCTCTCTATGTGTTTCTTTGTGTGTGTTTGTACTCCAGACATTGACTGGAACCTTTGTTCTCTCAGTCTTCACTGCTGTCCTGGGATCTCTCGAGTTTGGATACAATATCGGAGTCATCAATGCACCTCAGAAGGTAAAAAATACAAAGCACCGATCACCAGGGTTATGATCAAAACTAGACAATTAAATTCCATGAAATTGACTGGTGGCAATCGGCACCAATCGGCATTTAAGAATGGAGGTGTGTTAAAAGAAGTGTGACGTACAATGCGGGAAGCAAACATTTTAGAATGTGGTGTGTTTGATGCCACAACATTGGCCTCAACCGGTGCCGATGGTGTTTAGAAAATAAACTTGGAGGAGGGAAACAAGTCCTTGCATGTGATGCAAATGACGTAAATGCGAGGGAGTCAGATCAACACTCAATATTTAAGAGGGCAGACAGGAGAGCAAAGGGAAGTTTGTTGAGCATCTTAGTTGTGCTTATGGAAATGCTGCAATGGATTAGTTTACTGTCACATCCAGTAGGCAACATGGTGCTGCACACTCTTATGATGCCTTTGCATAAAAACAGTCTATGTGTATATAGAGAGAGCTCATATTGCAGCCACATCTGGTGTTCCAGCATTAAGGCATGCATGGGTACTGCATGTGAAAAATGTATGACTTATGACTGCCCATATAATGTACTGTAGTATATGTGTTGCTCTATTGCCAGGACAATTCAGTACATACTTTCACTCAAATCCATATATTAATATGTCACACTGTACACACTGTAGTTTGGCATTAGTGACACATTGCCCGAGCCAGGTGAGTTGTCTCTGCTGCTGGTATTCAGGCACCTGCTGATGAGTCTTAACCCTCAACTACAGACTCCACTCAGCTGACGTGGTTTCATGAAGACACTTAAACCAGAATAGAAGCTGAGCTGCTGTGTCTTTATGTGTGCATGTGACATTATGAGACAGCTTTTTCTATCTGTACATGACAACTTAAAAGACTCATTTGAATTTATAAAGACTGACTTCAAATTCCAGTTGGGCTATCAAAGAGATAATAAAACACAAACTTAACACTTAAACTTATTTGTTATGCATCTTCCTCTGTTCCTGTTTCACTCCCGAGTTAATCTGTTGTTCAACATGTCTCATGCTTTCTTCTGTGCCCTGTCTAGATCATTGAGCAGGAGTATAACGCGACATGGGTGCACCGGTATGGAGAGCCCATCCCCGCAGGGACCCTCACCTCCCTCTGGTCCCTGTCCGTGGCCATCTTCTCAATTGGTGGCATGCTGTCCTCCTCCTGTGTGGGCTTCATCTCCGAGTGGCTGGGCAGGTAGGGAAACACACAGGATGCCCCAACTCTAATTTAGATATTTCTACTGGAATTGGCAGTTATTTAGTCTGTGTCCTGTTGCCTGAACCCAAGTTCATCAAAACCATTAAAAACTTTGTATATTCTCCCCTCTACATCTGATTTACTACATACAATTTTAGGTTCTGGTGACTATTTGCAGCTATGTCAGTGGTTGCACACTTTTCTCTGCTGCCCAGTACGACGGACCAATACTCAGGCACTATAGAGTTTGAATGCACATCACTATTTCATTCACTTGTGCAAAAACAGAGTAAGAACAATGCAAACAGAAAGGCGTATGCTCGGTATCACACCTAAATATTCTTAATACAAAATACAGTATATAATGCAGTATACATACTGTAAGGTTTTAACCAAGCAACTAAATTCTTCCTGAGTCCATGTTTCCTTACACTTAGACAATCAGGTACATTGTAAAATATTTCAGTGACCAACTGTGTGAGTCATGATACATCTGTCTCTCCTGTCCACCTCTGCATGGATCCAAAATGGATCCCACCATCCAGTTTCTAGTCTCACTAACTTCCTTCCCTCTGTAACCTGAGCTGGGATGCAAAATGAACTGCAGCCCCCAGCTTCCACTGATTAAAAGGGGATCTTAAATTAACAGAGCTGGCAGCACTGGGTCAGGAGGGGTCCGGAGGGGAGTAACTTTCAGTTTGGGTGCTCTCAGGACAGGGTCTTCCTAAAAAAAGCAGTACTGGTAATGACGGCGGGAGCTGCTGTAACCTCTGAGGTCAAACTAATTTAGATGTAACCTAAGTCTCGAGTGCACAAATAGAAGTTCACTTTTAACAGTAGACCTTATTGTTTGGTCGGTGAGACAGACTGGGAGAGGAAACTAACATTACATTACAGTCATTTAGCAGACGCTTTCATCCAAAGCAACTTACAATTCAGATTCTATCACATTCATACACGTAGGCACAGCTACGGGAGCAATTTTGGGGGTTAAGTGTCTTGTTCAAGGACACATCGACGGGCCGGAGCCAGGGATCGAACCGCCGAATCCTCTGATTGAAGGACGGCCCTGCTCTCCACTTAGCCACAGTCGCCAAGTGTTAACAGAGTCTTAGAGATATAAACTGCTGAGTCGTCTGCAAATTGTCTGACACGATATTCTCTGTTTGTTTCAATTTCATTTAATATCATGTGAATGTGCTGCAACTAGATTCATATTTGTATCTCATGGTTTGAGCTCTCTTGATGTTCTTCTTATATTTCCTGTGTTTTATGAAATAAAAAGTACTTCTCAATAAAATCACCGTCAACATCACTAAAATGATACTGTTGATGGTGAAGAATAATCATTTCAGCTGTACCTATTTTGAAGTAGCATGAAAAGAAAACAACTCAAGTAAAGTACAAGTACCTCAAGTGTGTACTTTAAGAGCAGTACTTGAGTAACTGTGTAAATGTACTGAGTTACATTCCACTGGTAAATAATACAAATCATTTCTGTGTTTGTGTGTGCAGGTCACCTGATGTCTTAACTACTACTACTGATACTACTACTAGTACTACTACTACAGCTGCTAGTAGTACTCTAACTACATCCAGGACTCCTGATGATCAGACAGGTATTCATTCAAAAAGATCACTGATATTTACTTTTTTCTTTTATAACCATCTCTCTTTTCTTCTTTTTGTGTTCGTCAGACAGGGAGACAGAAGAAGAAGAAGAAGAGGATGAGGAGAAGGAGGGTGAGGAAGACGAGTCTATCTTCATCTCTTCTTCACAGGAAGCTCCGTCTGTCTTCTTCACGTCTTCCGTTTGTCTCCCAGCAGGAGAACCAGAGCAGTCTAACCTCCACACAGGTAACACTGTAATAATATTAATAAAAACAATAATATTAGTAGTAATAATCAGAATAATGCTTATTAATAACAATAATAATAATAATAGAAAAGAGTTTGTAAATTGCTGGAGGATGAGAGAATAGTTTTATTTCTACACTGTGATATAATTTTACTTTAATTATTCCACCACTTCCTGTATGTTTAAGATATTTAATATTTTTATTTTTGTAGTTTTGATGAGTGAAATCTGCTTCCCCGTGAGGATCATTTATTCTGCTGTCGTATTATTTCAACACTCGTTTCATATTTAACTGTGAAACTACATCTGTGAGTTTATTCTAAACTCAGGTGTCCCGGGCAGCTCCTCTTCCTCTTCCTCTTCCTCCTCCTCTTCTTCTTCTCTCTCAGTTTCCTGTCTGACTTCCTGTCTTCAGGAGCCGTTGGAGACGAGTTTGTTTCAGAGCAGAAACAATCGACGCCGACCGGAGACCGACCAGGTACATCAATAATACAGATCATTTCAATGACTTTATGGTCTTATGTTTTATGTTCATGTAAGCATTAGAGTTCAGACCCAATGTGTGACCTCACTTCCTGTCTGCAGCTCCACCCAGTAGTCTGGCTTTGTCACGACCAACGAAGAAGAAGAAAGTCCTGGTGGCTCCAGCTCTCAGTCTGTCTTTAGGTAATTAAGTAATTCATGACACTAATATAATAATAATATTAATAATAATAATATATTGATAATTATAATAATAATGATAATAATGCTACTACTAATACTACTGCTAATAATAATGATAATAATGATTATAATAATAATGATAATGGTAATAATAATAATTATAATAATGATAATAATGATTATAATAATAATGATAATAATAATAATAATGATTATAATAAT